GTTATCGCTATGTTGGACGCTCCGCTACCTCCTCCACTCCTCGCCGGCCGACCCTAAACTGTGGCTATGACTAAAGGGGGAAGGGGTAGGGGAGGGGGAAGAGGGATATGAAAGTGGGAATTCTGGAGGGAAAACAAGGGGTATCGAAGAGAGTTTTCTACAGTAAAACAACTTCTCCACCCCTCGCCCCCCCTCCCCCTCTTTTCCTCTCTGGATCCATCAATGCTACAGATGAAAGAATTAGGAAAAATAAGCTTCTAGAAAGGATCCTAACAAGGGATTGCTTGTAATACAGTTGTTCGAAAATAATAAAATTCTTTCTGCAAGCATCCTATGGTACTTTTACAGGAGATGCGCAAAAGCGCTGTTTTTTTGCGAAAAAAATTCAAAAATATCAAGAATTTTGTTGAAAAAATTTACGAAAAACAATAAATGTTTACCTTGCCTTTCACATCTTCCACATGTTTCTTCAAAAGTTTCATTGTATTTGGCGTAATAATATAACCATCCGTTTTATAATTTTCTCCCACCTAAAATAGAAAAAAAAAATTCCACCCTGAGGCAAATTCCCTCAAAAAAGCCCCCATATCTTATCACCTTTTCCCATACCTTCATGTGTTTCACGCTATATATATCCCATAAAAGTTACGTTAAATTTATAAATATTGGAACAGCGATTTCGCCACCAACGACAAACAATCAGACCAACTTTTTCTACTTTTCAAAGTCAAAATCGTTCTCAATACGGACAATATTCGTTGCAAAAGCTCAAACGAGTGAGATGTTGCAAAAGCTCAGCATATATTAACATACAGAAGACTTCAGGTCCCCGTTCTCTTCCAATCTCCCAGCCAAGAATATTCACTGTTTGTAGCTTTAAAATTTCTACAACAATCAAAATACAAAGACAAGGATGCAACCTTGATAATGAACGCATCGAAAAAGGTGATGCTAAATTCTGTTATGAAATGAACAAATAGCAAATATGGATAAGAAATGGAGACGGCCAATCTCTTCCTCTGTACCTCAGTTACTCTACGCTTCCAAATGTAATATGCAAATGTCCCGTCTTGAGAATTAAGCCCCTCCCCTCTTGTGATTTAATAACGATAAATTAGATTTACTACAGTCCGATATTATTATTATCGCTATTATTACTGTTATTATCATTATCATTATTATTATCATTACTATCATCATCACTACTACTATTATTAATATTGCTATTATTATTATTATTGTTGCTTTTGTTGTTGTTGCTGCTGTTATTATTATCATAATTATTATAATTATAATTATAATCATTATTATTATTACTGTCATTATTACTATTATTATTATTATTATTATTACTATTATTATTATTATTATTATTATCCAGCATTGGGTGTGGTTGTAGGTGTGTGCTCCCTTAATTTCACTACCATGTTATAATTACAACGATTTCGGAGGGGGAGTGGTGGTGGGGTGCTTCTGATAAACAGTGAAGCTATACCGAATGTCTAACATTTATAGGCATTTACACCCTAATACCTGGTAATCCTACCCTAAAAGAAATCATTCTTTCTTTAGGGCAGGGTTACCAATGTAGGGTAGAGTTACCTTGTGAAAATTAGTTTTGTTTCGCATCAACTCATCGATGCTATTCGCACCGTTCGTTTCCTTATCATACAATTTCTTTATCGTTTCTTTATCACATGCTTTTTCTTTATCTGAAACAGAAAATTTATAGGAAAAAAAGCGTTTTTTTTTTTTTTTTTTATGTCAAACACTGGAAAATTGCATGGAAATATAATCCAAAATGGCTAAAACAGAAAATAAGCAATTAAAATACTTGAAAAAACTCCAGAAGATACCAAATTCTCTTAACTTCTGTCCAAAACTCTTATGATAATTACAAAAACGAAAAAATATAAGTAGTGAAGTTCAAAATTTCTTTTTCTATCGAGATTTTTGGATTTTCGAGGAATTTTCCAAAATGTGAGTACTTTTTTTTCTTAATATTTTCGGTCTACTGGTTAAAAAAAAACCCTGTACTCTAAGTTTTCGAAATAAATTTGGGTCATTTTTTACGACAGAAACAGACATAAAACAGGCTGAAACGTAAAAAAGATACGTGTAATTTTAGACCGCAGGTTTGCCGTAGCCGCGCCCAACTTGTAAGTACATTTCAACAATGTCAGTAGCATCAAGTGCGGTAAAATGATGCGCAAAAATCGCTAATCTACAGACCACTTTTCTCCTCGCGAACCGTAACAGAGATAACTTTGATAGAAAAATGTCTTAAAGTTGACAGAAGACAAAAGCAAATAATATTAAGAAATTAGTAAAAGTAGTAAAACTTTTTATAAAAATCATTATAATGGTAAGAAATATTTCAATCCATTAAATCGTACACATTTTTTACCATTACCACAACTGGACCTTGTCAGTACGACGATTATGGTAATTGCTGTAGATTTTGATTGAAGTTGTATTAAATAGTTGTATTAAATTATGCATTATTTCAATTCATTTACATACCATAGCTAAGCCTGATGTTAGAAAAGTTTTAATTTTACCTTTTACCGCAGCTTCTTGATCGAGATTTTTTCGGCCACTTCGTTTTGGGCCATTTTCCTCAGCCTGTTTCGCGCCTCCACGAATATCATCAATTGTTTTTGGACCAAGCAAAAGCATCATACGAAGATCGAGCTCACGCTTTATTGCTGCCCCATCAGCCCATTTTAACCTCGATTTTACCTCACCTATAAACAGGTAACACTGAATGCATGTAGATTTTCAACATTCTTTTTTTTTTTTTTTGTTAATCAAAATTTGTAAAAATTGCTGGCCGATTAATCTAGGCAATCTATCGATATTATAATTAAACGAGATAAGCAAGTGATGGATGTAACAAGTAATGAATAGGTAAGAATTTATAAATTTGTAATTTTACAACTTCTCTATTTCTTCTATTCCCTCTACTTACTTACTTCCGGCCTTCCATTTCTTTCATTTCTTCTGTTTTCCATCTCTTTTATCTTAATTTTTATACCCCACTAAATTATTTTGTTGCCGCAATCGTCGTACTGACGCGGTACAATTGTGGTAACGGTAAGAAATGTATACGACTTAATGGATCGAAACATCTCTTCCCTATAACAAATATTTCCTCAGTCCCCTTTCCCATCTTACTACCCTTTTCCTCGTTTTTTTTGTTTTCTTTCCTTCTTGATATTTCCTCTTCAACCTTCAATATAATCAAAAAAGTAACAAAAGCAGTTATCACGTCTGCCAACGTAATACCGCCAGTGCTGGAGAAAAAACAGTCCTTTTAAAAATGCTTTAAACGAGGTATGCTTTTACATTAGTCCAAAATCCATTTTTTTCCTGGCTTGTGCTTGAAAATTTCCGCAATCAGTAACAGTTAAAAAACAAGGTGCACCAGACACACACACACCCACTCACACACACACACACATACACACACATACGCACATACACACAGAACCCCCTTGTCAATATGCATTATTGCATTGCACAGGTGCAAAAAAAGCTTAAAAATCAATCCGCTCAGATTTATTTTCGCGATAGTCGGAACTTGCTAGCGGTTTAAAATCGCCATTAAACTTAATTGCAGGTACGGAGAAGTACATAGAATTATGTGGATGAGAGAGGCAGACATCCGAGAAGAATAAAACAACTTCCAGTGGCATCAATGGCGAGAAAAAACGCAGTGGTAAAGCAAAACCCAATCAAAGTCCCCTATATTTATAGTTTTGTTGGAGGACGGATGCTTCTAGCAATGCGAAATCAACAGAAAGCTACCTTCTCTCAAACGAAAAGAAAATCAGAATTTTTTTCTTCTTTTTACTTAATTTTACTTAGTTTTTCTATTTAATTTCTTCTTACTTAATTTTTTCTGCTACTTAATTTTTTACTCAATTTTTTCTTTTACTTAATTTTTTACCTAATTTTTTTACTTGATTTTTTTTACTTAATTTTTATGCGTTTCTTGCAGCAATGCAATGCGAAAAACGCATATTGACGAGAGGTTGTCTGTGTGCGTGTGTGTGTCTGTGTGTGTGTGTTTGTGTGTGTGTCTGTGTGTGCGCAGCGCGTCTGTACCGATT